CCCACTATTCGTTGGTAATAGAGTAGCCCAAGAGATGGCGGTTGGTGGTGATGACTAGCTGCCTTCTCTCTAGTCTTACACTGCTAAATTAGGGACAGCTAGCACAAATAGCCCTCGTGTAGCTTTGCGCGAAATTCAAAACAAACAAACAAACAAAAACTTGTAAATATATGTTATTGATTTATCCATATTTTAGCCTTATGGAGGTATTTAATTCATTTGTACCATTACTAGGTATTTATGACATCGTGAAATGGCCCTTACGAGCGACTTACATACATAGAGAGAAAATATTATAACTGAATATCATCAGCTATCAAATCAAATCCAACAATAAAAACTCATATAAGCCAATTTTATTTTATATGTATAAAACTAAAATAATTACTTAATTATTTACTTGCACATTTTTCTTTTCTTTTTAATAAAACAACATTTACTTCATAAATATTTTACACTGGTCCAAAGTTATTTGTAGAGCAGCCACATGAGAATAAATTTACTCTGCTACAAATTAGTTTACCATTTTAAACCTTCTTTCCGACGTTTAGCACAAAGTCTCAAAGGTGATGCTGTTTGGAACTAGAGGGCTAACCCCTATTATACTGGCATCCATCAGTGTCTACAGCCCCCCCCCCCCGTTACATTTTATACTGGCATACATTAGTGTCAACCCCCCGTTACATTTTTACTGGCATCCATGATCGTCTGCAGCCCCCCCCCCCTCCATCCTACTTACAATAATTGTATCGTCACTATATTAAGTGTGAAAAACAAAACAAAAACGAAATTTTTTTTGACACAATGAATGATAAAATCTTCAGGAGTATCAGGATTTGTGGCTAGTGATAATGGTAAATGTGTTATCAAAACTAGTTGGCTGAAAATATTTTAATAAAGACTTTATCTCTCATTGTGTCAACAAACGTCGTTAGTGTTTTTTACTCTTTATACAATTAATAAGAAAAAAATGTATATGTAAAATGATATAAGGATGGTACAGTTATACATAGATCATCCTTAAATGACTTTCAATATTAAAATTTAATGTTAAACTGTAAAATGAACGAGTGCAAAATCGTTACGAGGTCGGCATTATAGACATACAAAACTCAGTAACACACATTTACCTGGAATACACCAGAGAAGAAGACAATAATATAAAATGGAATTAATAGGATATGAATCAGACAAGAAAAGAATAAAACCTTCTAGATCCAGAATAACACACTCAGTCAACCCGGCATAGAAGTCAGCAACACTAGACGAGTCACGGGTCAAAGGTCATGTCATCGCGTTTGTTGACTCGCATTAAAAATGTTATTGAACTACTATTTCGTGAATTTATGTTAATAAGTTTGGTATCAAACTGTAGATTATAATTCAAATGTTACTATTACGTATTATTCAATTTCTTCATTTAAAAGTAAATATAAAAAAACACAGTTAAACATCGATTTTTCTGTGTCACGTGGTAAGTTGAATGCAGCACTGGTTCATATTAGATGTTTGGGATGTTAAAATACTAAGTCTATGGTTTCGTTCGAATTAGGAACTCAAATTGCCGATATTGACAAGCTAGAATATAAAATAAGAGCCTCTTATCTATTCAATTTGCTAAGATATTGCTCATGTAATAAATCAAACACAATGGCACCCCGCCCACCTCTTTCCATATTTGGAAACGCTCCAAATTACACTTACTTCTATATATGACATGAATAACCAATCGGAAGCTCAGAATGCCCCCCTAGTGGCTTTCTGAGCCATTTTAATATCCCTCTTGAAAACATTCATATAGTTAATTGGTTCAAGCTCTAACGGGTGACACCTCAGTTAAGCAAAGAAGACACAGGATCAAACCCCGGCTAAATACAAGGACTTCTTTGAATACAGTAGCTGATCAGCAGCCGAAACGTGGGATAGAAAGTAGTTAGTAATTGGTATCCAATTAATTTATAAAGTTACTTAGGTGATCGTATAGGTTACTAACCATGATAATGAGCATATTATGTTCGTGATAAGAATGAGAACATGATGTTTTTTTTGTTTGTTTGTAATTAAGCACAAAGCTACACAATGAGCTATCTGTGCTCTGCCCACCACGGGTATCGAAACTCAGATTCTAGCGTTGTAAGTCCGCAGACATATAGCGGTAAAAATTAGCAGTGGGGTTAGTTCATTATTACAGTAAAACTAATGTAAACTACAAGTGTATTTGAAATCACTTGTTATCACTACTCCACATAGACATAATACGACTGGTGACAAATATTAATGGTTAGACATTAATTTTTAGATAGTCCTTTGGCATAACTTGTTTCAATATGTAATTACTTTGAAGAATATTTCCATAAATTAATATCATAAGTTAGCTGCTCCTGTTGAGGCTCTTCCTAGCAGTGTAGATATGATGTGTAAAGAAGCCATTTATACAGGGGACAGCATGATTTGTTGAATGGTTGCACGAATTTGGGGTATAAAATGAGAAGCGATTAACAGATTACGTATATATGTGTATAGATCTAAACGTGCACAATAATTTTACTAATCGACTGGATTGAGGACGGACCTCAAAATAACAGGTCTTCAGATATAGAAGAACAGGAGGAAAAACATAGGTTTTCCAATAGTATTATTCATATTTACCTATAGAATTACAAGATAAAATGCATAATTATTCCCAAGATAATGTGTCATCTTAAGTACAGAAGTATAAGGTAAAAACATTGTTATTTTTTCAAGGTACAATATCATCTTTGGACACAGATGTACAAGGTAAAAACTTTTTTTTTCTCCAGGGTAACATGTCCTCCTCAGTCACAAACGTACAAGATAAAAAATAGGTTTTTCAACGTAATACGTCTTCTTCAATACAAAAGTATGAGACAAAAAACATAGGTTTTACCAAGGTAGTGTTTAATGTTTTCAGCTATAGAAGTACAAGATAGGTTTCTCAATGTAATGTCCTCTTTATCTATAGAAGTAAAAGATAATGTAGTCTTTTCTTTATGATGTTTTGTCGAAAAATGCATGGAAATTAATCATAAAATGACGCAGTAGTAAAACAGAAAATTACATTATAAAGTACATTTAAGAGTACTATAGTACTTCATGGAATTGAAACTTAACTGCCAATAGCAAGTGTTTTTGTTTCCCTAAATAAAGTATGCTGTATTATATATATATATATTCTTACTTTAATTAACAGTATTGGTTATAATATTTAATATATCGAATGTAATTATTTTTATTATATAGATCGTTTTACATTGTTAGTTTAACATATGAATTTAGGAATAAACTAAATCTCCTAAGATAGCCGAACCTCGTGAGATATTATTGGGGTTATGGCCGATATATCGTTAACAGCGAGGACACCTAACTAATG